AAAAAAAGTATATATGTATTTATATCAGTTGTCTAGTACCCATAGTACAAGCTCTGCTTAGTTTGGGACTAGATGGCGTTGTGTGAATGTGGTACAATATATTATATTATATTATTAAAAGATAGACAACACGGACGGCGCAATCCAACAATTCCATAATTGCATTTGAGTTAGTCTTGTGATAACTGCCCTGATAAATTTACACCATCTATAAATATCTTGGCATTAGGAAGCTGTGCCAACCGAAACAGTGAAATTTATATACTAATATTATAGGTAAATGCGAAAGTTTGTTACCTCTACACGCTTAAACCGTCGAACCGATGTATATGAAATTTGGTGTAGAGATAGTTCGAGAAATCATCCTTTAAGGGGGTGAAAAGGGGGGTGGAAGTTTATATGGGGAATCAATAACCGCTGAACAGATTTAGATGAAAATTGGTATGGTGAAGTTGTGGGGAAGAATATAGGATAATTTTTTATCCCAGAAATCATCCCTTAAGCATTTATTAATTTGACATGGAGATACTTTGATTCTTGAGAACAATAGCATAATAGCAATAACAAAGGACATAGGCTACATTTACAGCGATAACCGGTGGGAAATTCAGTATAGGGCTGTAAAACGTCCCGGTATCCTGGGTCATGTCCCGGTGTCCTGGTCAATAACCTATCTGTTGCGGTTTGGTAACTGCTAGTATCATATAATATTTGAGATGACGTCACTCTGGATGGTTTTATTAGGCAAGCTTTGTAGGGTACTGGAAAGTCAACCGTTGATAAATAGTCTTTCCAATTTAATTCATATAATAAATAAATATTTCAGACATCTGACAAACAACGACATCTAGTTTCAAACTATACAGAGCTTGCACTATGAAAGTTAGATTGACTGATAGAATACTTATTTACTTATTTTTGTAAATACATACATATTATACATAGAAAAGTACCCAAACTCCAATCAAACTCGAGACCACAGCACAGCAGTTGCATATGCTGTCACTGTACCACCGAGGTAGTCATATTATGTGCAAATATGGTGTGTTCATATTTAATATAAATTAAAAAGACCCCTTTTTAATTTATGAAGTATATTGTTCACATATTAATATAATAAGTAATATGTTGGAATAGGAATTAAATATTAATATTAGGAAAGACTTTCTTCTTTTATTAATAGTTGTTTCATGTTTACATTGTTTCCTATGCTTATTACACAAATAATCTTTTACTAATTTCAAAAAGTTTAACATAAATACTTAAATAGGTTAAAATAACTATAAGTTCAGTTGTTTTTTACACACTTTTATTAGTTTTACTTCTAACTACCTAACTATGTAAACATCTCTTGGAAATAAATTTTACCATATTTCTAATTACCATGGTGGTGGCTAAATGAAACTTTAATATTGTATGTTAACGAAGCCCGGAAGTTGATTATGAAACATTCAATTAGCTACTGGTAAATCCTCCGAGTTAGATCCTCATGTGATTAATTTCGTCAAGTTCTAATATATTGGGTTTAGTAATTATGCTCATGTAGAAACTGCAACACTTTTTCGTTTTAAAATTAAATGTTCTTTTACATTCTGGAGGACTGGCTCATCCCATTAAATGCAACGAAGTGTACCGTTTTACATATGGGCCACAACAACCCGAAGTTGAAATACAAGATTGGTTCGGTGGAACTGAAACCTGTAAGTTCCCAAAGAGATCTAGGGGTAACCATCACACATAACCTCAAGTGGGATGTACATATCACAAATATAGTGAAGAGGGCTAATTCCATGCTGTATGTGGTTAGAAAAGCATTTAACATCATACCAAAAGACTTGTTTATAAAGATCTACAAAACATACATCCGCCCGCTCTTGGAGTACACATTTCAAATATGGAATCCATACTTCAAGAAAGACATAGAAATGCTCGAAAAAGTACAACGGAGGGCTACAAAAATGGTTATATCATTAAAAAACATGTCATATGAGGAACGCCTTATTGAACTAGACTTAACTACACTGGAGCAACGCAGGCAACGGGGAGATCTGATTGAAACATATAAAATATTAACTGGACACTACAATGTGAAAGACATCGGAAACCTATACACTATGAATTCTAATACCCGATTGAGAGGACACCCATTGAAGCTCACCAGGTCTCCGTCTGTTAGCAACCCTAGAAGACACTTTCTACCAAATCGCGTGGTGACCATTTGGAATAGTTTACCGGAAAGTGTAATTAGTGCTGGATCAGTGAACATTTTTAAAAACAGACTAGACCAACATTTAAAAACAACAAAATGAACACAAGTGCAGTGATATGTACGCATCAGATCTGTGATCTGCTAGTGCATTATAGAATAATAATAAAATAATAATTCTGTGGGACCACCAATCTGTGGAACGGGTTACCGCACAACCAATCTGTGGAACGGGTTATCGTGTGCGGTATTTCCGGACCGATACGACCTTCAACCTTCAAGAAAAGGGCGTACTCCTTCCTAAAAGGCCGGCAACGCGTTTGTGACTCCTGAGATACAGACGTTCATGGGCGGCGATAGTCACTTACCATCAGGTGACCCGTCTGCTCGTCTGCCCCCTCTAACATAATAAAAAAAAACAACTTCCTTGCGACAAAACAAGTTGCGGCTCATACAAGTGGTCTGTGTCTTCATAAAAATATTTTCCAGTGCTAATTAAACAAAATGATATTTTTAACACACTTTTATTAGCTTGGTATGTACGTAACAGAATTTTCGAACGTGATTTTAAACCACTTGAAAACGTCGAATTAAATTGAAACTTTACACACTTAACAAGGACTTATGTCAGTGCAATCATTTAAATAGTCTGTCCCATTGTCCTGATCAGGACCTTCAGGATTAACGGCTTTTTAAAAATGCGGTAGTGTCGGAAGCATATGTAATAAACTAACTTGTTACTTTTTTAGTCTAAATAAGATAATAATCATCATTAAAGAAGACAAAAGGAAAAACAAAAAAAAACACGAAAAAATTGGAAATAATTTTCTATAAGTTCAAAAAGAAAAAACATTTCATCGTACAAAATAAACTATAATTTATTTATTTTCTAGACACAACTATGTCCACATACATGTTGTATTTGTTGCAGAAGTTGTGTATAGAAAAAAACGGTGTATTTAAGCACTGAAACATTTTGTTTAAACACTGACCACATTTTAACTGCAGGAAAGGTATTAAGTCAAGAAAGGCTTTAAGATTTTAGTAAATGATTGCATATTAGCACTATTTCTATACTAATATTATAAAGCTGAAGAGATTGTTTGCTTGAACGCGCTAATCTCAGGAACTACTGGTCTGATTTGAAAAATTCTTTCAGTGTTAGATAGCCCATTTATAGAAGAAGGCTATAGACTATATATCATCACACTAAGACTATAAGAAGCGGAGCATCAATGAACAATGTTTAAAATCGAGTTTTTTTTCCTTTTTTAAGATCTTCCGTTACGTAAACCGATATAGCTTCATAACATATGTATTATTTAAAAAGATTTTCACCTTCTACATAAACAAAGTAGCTGGTTAAAGTAAGTGTTAGCCCAAAGTAACTATTCCACGCGGACAGAAGCTAGTTATTGATAAAATAGATTAAGAATTTTGCATGTAGTATTTTGTTTAGGTTTGTTTTTAGACTTGAGAAAACATTATCAGTTCTAAAAAATGATCTTATCTGTTGCAGACAGAGATTAGGATCTATTAAATTGATGTGGCACCTATACATGTTTTTTATCAAAAATTACTAAGAATTTAATGTTGTTTTGATTGTTCAGTTTAAGTACAGGCATTCATTAAACTGTACCTTAATAATAGGGTCTAGCTCTTTGATGGTTATGTTTGTACTTTATTTTAACTTATTTAACATGGTCCGTTTCTCCATGGGAAAAACCTGCTTGTGATGCGGACTTGGTTGTTTGGTAAATTAACAGAATAAATGATTGGTTGCCTACTATTTGGTGTTATTAATTAAACCAACAACTTTGATATTTTTGTACTCTTTATGTCTAAGTGGCGTGCAATGGGAGAGGCCTATGTCCAGCAGTGGACTGCGATAGGCTGGTGATGACGATGATGATGATGTCTGAACTTTCTTTAGTAGAATTGTCTTGTGAAATTTGACTTGTAGGGTAGAAGAGTATTTTATTGGTACTAACATATGAAATACTAGCTTTTGCCTGCAGCTCCACCCGCATGAATGTCAGTTATCTTGGTAAAAAGTAGCCTATGTCCTTTATTAAGAATCAAACAATCTTCATACCAAATTTCCTAAGCATCTGTTCAACAAATGTTGATTTCCCATACAAGCTTCCACCCCCTTTTCTCCCTCTTAAGGGATGATCTTTGGGACAAAAACTATCTTATGTCATTTCCTGGGACTCAAACTATCTCTATACCAAATTTAATTTAAATTGTTTCAGCAGTTTAAGCGGTAACAGACAGATTATAATATTAGTATAAATATAATAGACAAATTAAATGTTAATAAAATTACTTATGTATATTATTATTAAACACAATAATGTTCTGAGTGAAATTTATAACCAAACACTGTTCATTTAATTTTTTCACGTGTCTGTATTATAATTATTCAGCATTGATGTAAGTCACGAATGAGAGAAGATGTTGTTTTATTAATGATTGGTGGTAGTCATTGTGGCATTAAAACAATAATGACAATTATTAGCATTTTCTATTTGTGTGAGGTTTTTAACTAAAATGTCTATAGATATAAACACTTTTATTCTTCTATTATTATTAGCATATGTTTGCTTTTCAATCTACCACATCTACATTTATATCACCACAATTTGATAACGATCTAACTAAACTAAACTGTCAATACTGGGATTGACTAATAGGTACGCTATCAGCATGAATCAAAACAAACAAAAGTGAACAGGAAACGTCAATTCAACCCTGACAAAAGCGACCTCGTCATTGTAGCGGAATCTCTCACCTTGCCAAGTTTTTCTATGGGAATCATTGATGGAGGCGGCTTGTCATTCTTTTCTGCTAGTCCCTGCAGGTCTCCACCAGACCCTGAGCGAGAACCAGCACCTCGTTGCGATCCTCGCGGCGTGCTTGTTCCACTACTGCCCTGTTCACCTCCACCTTTCGAATCATGGCTATGATGATTCCCCATCACTTTATTATTTTTCACGACACCACCACAAAACCTTAATTACGTAATTAAGCCACAAGAGCGGAGGCTGTATTAACAACAAATATGTGATGATCACTTGCGACGAGACGTCACACGCGTGACAGCCAGCTGACGTCAGTTGTCAATGTCATAAGAACGTATATTTGGATTTACGTACGAGTGGCAAAGAATATAATTTTAGCTATGTAAGGCTCCTTTACTTATTATAGCTCTAGATATAGCGTATAACAATCAGGGAAAGTAAACAATGTGTAATATTATATGGGATCCGTTGATTGATCTACATATTGAACCTATATTCCATCAGTATATAAGTATGTGTTAACAATAATTTCTGATATCCAATGATATAATTTATTTTTGCATCCATAAATAGAATGATCTTTCCTTTTCTTTGAATTTAGGAATGTTTTAAATGCTCTTATATATTTCCGGAGTCATTTACCTTGTCGAATGTCCAACACTTACTTAATATTCCATCATTTACTTGCATTACACAATATGTACTTAGGTTCATAATGGACCCTGTCGGGCACAGCACCATACATTTAACAAAGCTCAACAATTTGAATGAAAAAGTGTAATAAATGCACCAAAATTAGAAGAGAGAAGGTTTTTGAAGTGAAAACTTCTTTAGCGGCGTTGTACACTTTTTATGTAATGGGTAAAAAATGTTAAACTTGCGTCAGGACACGTGACCTGATCGAAAATTCGTAAGATGGATAAAGAGTAGACAGCCGACGCGGCGTAGGAGAGGAAGTATCCCCCTCTCTTTCTACGGCGCTGCGAAAATGTGAGCCTGCTGTTTCGTTGAGGCGGCGCAGGGCGCTTGCGCGAATGTTCGTGAGTGTTTATGTTACAGCGTGCCACGCGCATCCATGGATGGTGACAGCGTCTCGATAAATTGTCATGTGTGCCTACGATAGCGCAATAAATAAATATTGTATTCTACCACATAAATGATAGTACTTTTATACTGACAAATTAAAGCAATTCGTGCAAAATTATTCCCTAACCATTCCAAAATATAAAAAATGCACAACGTTAATATTCAAGTTTTCACTTCTGACGGCACTTCCGGAGTGCAACCCGTCGTTTTTTTGCATTTTTGTTATTAATATTTTATGGTAGAATTAAGCTTAATTTGAAGAAGTAGCTCTTGAAATTTGAAAAGCGCTGCTATAGAGATGTAGTCAGTTCATGAGGACTCGGGTTCGAATCTCAGACCGGCATAATTTTGTTGGGTTTTCTGAGAGGAAAAATAGCTTAAGTTACTCCTTATATAGACAGCTACCTGGTAGTAAAATATTATCAAAATAGGTCCAGCCGTTTTGAACATTACAAACAAACAGACAGATAGATAGACCGACAGACAGACAGACAAAAATATTTAATCTGGTTTTTAGGCATAAGTGTCATGCAAATAACCGTGTGAGAATTCACTTCCATTTTATTTATGTGAATAGATGTTTTGGACATAACATAAGATGGAGGCAAGTTTAATCTCGTTTTGTGCCTCAATGTGTATTTTATTTGCTTTTCCTCCCTAATGTTGTAAAGCTCTTTATGTTTACCTACAAATTTTCAAGCTTCTAAAATATATAAACTAGGAATTGTCAATATTTTTAATTATATGAAGTGGGCTAACAACCCTCTGTCTGGTCAATATTGGCCAGAATGCTGATTAATTTCTTTTGAAGAATAAAGAGTCCAGGTGTATTAGTACTATTTCCCCTCAAAATAATGACATAACTTAGCCCAGCGTATGCATAGGCGTATGCATAATAGGTTACGAGACCGGTTCACTTCACGTGGGGCGTAGGAGAACTACGTGATCTTCCACTTACTGTTTTGCACATGCACCTTCAAAATTAATGTGTGGCAATAAGAAATCCTAATAAATTAAATTCTGAAAAAAATATACTTCAAATCTTTTGTATTATTGAAACTAAATTTTGTTATGTCAAAAAAAAACTACGTTTAAAAAAACCGACTTCAAAAACTAAAAAGTATAAAATAACTTAATAAAGATTAAATTTAATACACCTCTTATGCAAACCTTTAATATTAATAAAATACTATTGTTTGTATGTGCTACCTATTGATAGGTTTCAATTCGGTGCCAAGCCAAATGTAATAGAAGGTGCCTGCACTCGTCGCGCGTGACTTTGAGCAGGATAGCTTCGTCTAGAACAAAACAACCCAAGCAGGCAGACGTCGTTGACGGTCGTCTCGAAATAAAGTAAAATTTTGATGCGTTATTACCTAATTGATAGATTTGTATAATTTATCTCTTGCACGAAGCTCTATACAAGTTGTTTTCATAATTGTAGGTATTCATTATTACTTAACGTGTTGTGTGCTCGTCACACAATACGCAAACCAAAAGGTCCTTTTTAGGGCCACAAATATATTCATATATACGAATAATATAGGTTTAATATAGCTATAGTTACTCATCCAGGTATTAATATTATATATATTTTTATAATAAAGTTTTCATCTGTTTCACATTAATTCACATTGTTCTTTAGGTTTATTTACGTAGGTTAATCTTTAGTGTAGAAATTTCATAACAGTAAGTAAGTTGTTTATAATATTAAGTTTTATTTTGTTTAGGGCTTGGCACCGACTTTAAACCTATCAATAGGTAGCACATACAAACAATAGTATTTTATTAATATTAAAGGTTTGCATAAGAGGTGTATTAAATTTAATCTTTATTAAGTTATTTTATACTTTTTAGTTTTTGAAGTCGGTTTTTTAAACGTAGTTTTTTTATTTTTTACTTGTTAGTGTCTGAAATAGGTTGTTCTGTTAACTACAGTAGGATTTTTCTAGATTACATCAGGTAAACTATAACATTTCGTTGCTTTTTATTGTCATAATCTAATAGTATTTTTTTTAGTTTTGAAATAGTAAGTAGCTATGGGTACGAAAGGTGCAGCGCGCCTTAAACAATATAGATCCCAAGAAACGGGAACCGCAAAAAGGAATCGACTCCGAAAAAATGCTGTTTGAAACTCTATTTCACGTTCTTGTGAGACAGAGACAGATCGTGAAGAACGTTTGTTAGCTATGAAAAATTATATAAAATTACGGTGACGTCAAGAAACTCTTGAACAGTATGTCTAGACTCGCTAAGATTCAAGAACGTCTTGCCAAAGAGACGTCCGAAATGGTAAACGGCCTCCGCATAGTGTCATTCCTGTAGATGTTAACAACTGTGGTGGATTGTTACACAGCATTAAAATAGGGATAGGCTCTAGGGTGATGCTGAGAAGAAATATGGCGGTCTTTGATGGATTAGTCAACGGAGCAATAAAAAAAATCAAGTGGCCAGCCCTTCGCCGTGACCAACTAGAAGCAGGAGAACTGCCCGAAGCAGTATTGATTAAATTTGATGACGAGACGGTAGGCACTAGGGTAAAAGATGCGGAGGGCCTAGTTTCAATCGCATCAACATCTGCAACTTTTCAGGCCAATAAACGTTACGGTGATGTCGAGAGATTAATGCTGCCACTAATTTTAAGTGGGGTGTCACCGTTCACAATCTCCAAGGTATTAAATTTTTTTTCCGAGGTTTATCATCGCCCTCTCCAATGTCATAACATTGGAGAGGGCGATGATAAACCTCGGAAAAAAATTTTTGCAAAAGGTCAGATATAAGTATGTGGCTTTAAGTCGAGTGAAGAATTTAGATGGCGTGGCATTAAGTGATTTGGAACCATCTAAATTATTACACAAACCACATGATGACAAAGCACTACAGGAAATGCAACGATTAAGACAGTTAAATCTAGATTTTTTTTTTTACTTATTTTTAAAATTTCCCCCTAATTTATTTCTTCGTTCCGAGATTTTATATGCAATCGTATTGGTTATATTATTTCTCAATTTCCCTACTCCGCAAGCTCGCTCCGCTTCAATGACAGGTAGCCTAAGACCCACTTATCGGGACACGGGTTAATAATAATATATAATCAACTTAAATGAAAACTCCTAAAAAGGCCGTACACAACCTAAAATTATATCATACTAGTAAACAATAATATTCATTAAAAATGTTCATAAAATAATATATTATCAACTTCAATGAAAACTCCTAAAAAATGTTCATAAAATAATATATAATCAACTTAAATGTAAACTGCTAAAAAGGCCGTACAGAAACTAAAATTATATCATCCAAGTAAACAATAATATGTTAAATTTTTATGTGACCAAATGGCAACTATTCCGCATCAAACTAAAGAAGAATCACGTAAATCGGATCATAAATCTCAGAGTTATCGGTGTACATACATAAAAAAAAAAACATACCAATCGAATTGAGAACCTCCTCCTTTTTGAAGTCGGTTAAAAAGGCTATTTTTGGTGTGGATGGAATGACATTATTTTAGTTTTTGTAGAGTTTACTTCTAGATTATTTTTTTCTAACCATTTTGGCAAATGGATTTTGTCAAATACCAAACATCTCACTGTTATGATTTTTTTTGGGTTTTCAAGTCAATAGTTGAGCTGGCAGGGAGGCAGGAGGTCTCATTAGACACTAACAAAAATTAACATTTAAAAATAAATTGTGTTAAAAAAACGCTACGCTATGGGATCAATTGGTATTTTCCCAGCTCTACTCGTAACTTAGAGCGAGAACTAGAACCGCGGGCATTCATAGTGAAACAATTATTTTTCTTTTCAAGAAATCTCTGCCACAGTTTGCAGTCAAGGACAAATAATGCTACACGTCAATTTAAACACAGTTTTTTATTTTAATATCAATGAAGTAAAACACCTAGCACATAAGCATTTGCTTCAATTAAAAATCATAATTAATAAATATATTAAAACATTATAAAAATATCACAGATCATTAAGTCTTAAACTAATAAAAAGTATTTCTATATAAAATTCTATAATAAAGTAACGATTTACAAAATAGTTAAAATCTTATATACAAATACATGTTTTTTCAAAGAATCTCAATTTTTTCAAATTAACAATACAATTATCCATAGAAATGAAATAAAAAAAAATGAATTCAAAATCTTACGATCATCAGTAGGGTAGTGAAGGCATAAAGTTTAACAAACAAACAAAAATACTTTCACATTTAAAATTCAAGTTACGATTTTATAGATATCAGAACCACTAGTTTTAAATACAATTTTATAATTTTTTATAAAATTAATTAAGACACTTTCATGATGCTAGCGACTCCAGGAATGTCGAGGTAGGTAGCTCTACTAGTAAGTGGAGAGGTAACGCGGCCCAGTAGGTCAGGAATATTGTCGCCAGCCAATGTTCGCCCTGCAGAAATATAACAATTAACACATGTACGAGTTAACTGGAATTGTTGTACTCACAACCAAAGTGTACGACTTGTGTAATAATGAAATGTGTCACACAGAGCTAGAGTCACTAGAACTAGACATTTTTAAATGCGATACAGTGTGACAATTTTGCCACGTCCTTCTGCAAAAATCGTAGTTGATGATTGTAAATATATTATTTGCTTAAGTTTTAAATTTATTTCAATTTCAATAAAAATAGATTTTTCTTTGATCTTTCGTTGATGTGCTGACTGCAATGAGATCGAAGTGAACAGAACAAACAAACACCTAACAACTAGAAGGTAATGATATTGGTGTTCAGTTCAATCGATGAAATACCCCATTGGTGTATGATATGGTAAACCCCCTCCAATGTGTGTATTGTAAACAACATCACTGAACCACACCACTGTGGTGTCATTTACAATTAGAATACTATAAAACGTAATGAAGTTCGTACACATACCATATGCATTTATCGACATTAATAATTTTCATTCATAAAATCACAACCATGACCATTTAAGAAGTTTTTCCAGAAGTTTCCAGAAGTTGCTTTAAAGATAGCAGATGAAGTGAAATAAAGAGACGGTGAAAAAAATGATTACTTATCGTATAATTATCGGACCAAGTTTTATAAATTAATTTTTTTTTTTTTTGTTGTAATGGATACAATTGTTATGTTTTACGAATCCCCGTGACCTCGAATAATTTTAACATTATCATTAAAGATTACACGTAACGAGTTGTTTTATTTCAGGGTATACATCACTAGTGGTGTCGTTAACAAAAAAAAAATAAACGACAGTACAGTGGTGTGTTTTAGTGATGTTGTTTATAATATACTTATATCTAAATAGTCTGAGTACTCACCACTTGAAGCACCGAGGCCGAGGTCTCCGTAGTCCTGGTTGCGATTAGTAACAATGAAAAGAGCCAGTGAGTCAAGTAAACTGAGAGTGACATGCGGCCCATTATCTCAAACCCGCGCCAGGACATCAGCTTCCACCATATGACTGAGGAAAATAAAGATATTATTTGTTAGAATATTTTCTTACTACATTAGTATTGTGGAAATTTTGCAGGATCTTTTAGTAAAATGTCTCTTCTAGCTAGGCATTCCTCACGCTAAATCGAAATGTGTTCAATGCAAATCCAAATCGCTCATAAGATAATAAGCAGTCAGAAGTCACTTACAAAAGACTGCAGTCAGTGAAATTTAAAAAATAAATGAATTAACAGGTTCACATTAACAGCCTTTAATAGTCGCAATAAAAACTTTGACTTTGACTTTGACTAGTCCACTGCTGGACATATGCCTCTCTTTATAAAGGAGGTTTTGGCCTACTATACCACGCTGGCCGCCTTGGGTTTGTGTCAAGTTTTCCTTCTCTTTTCAGTGTTGTTGTCCTGCGTAGTTTGCTCCCTCAGTCGGCTCTTACGACACCCACGGGATAAATAAAGGTAGTGACACTCTGTATTCTTAATCCGTCACCACACAGACATTAACAGGTTACCATTGAAATGTTACTGCAGCAACTTAGTTCACGTTACATATTTAAAGCCTAGATTGCTAGTAATAATATACTCACGGTCAATCTTATTGAAGAATCCGTACATAGCTACAGCCGTCAGTGAGGTGAAGATGAGTCTGTCTGTAGCAGCGTAGAGGTACAACCAGAACGGTTCCGTGACTGCCTTCATGAAGTACCCTCCCGCGACCCAGACGAACATTGCGGGTACCGAAATGCGGTACAACACGCGGATAAGCTGCAACATTATACACACAATCTTTAGTAAGGAGCAAATCTCGACATTTAATATGATAATTTTATTTTTCTGGCCTCCAGTCTACCGGGCCTAGGTCAAGGGTGCAATAAATTATATTGTATAATATATTGAATAATTTTGCTATATTTTATCTACTTTTTATATTCCTCATCATTATCAACAGCTTTTAAGTAGTCTACTGCTGGACATAGGCCTCTCCGTAGAAAGGAGGTTTTTGCTTACTATACCATGCTGGGCAGACGGGTTGGTATAGGGTTTGTTTCGATGCGAGGTGGGCCCCGATCTTGTGAGGTAGGCTTCGATCTGTCCGACGCCCAATTTGGATTTCCTGTGTTGCGCCTCAGGACTGTGGCCGAAGAAGCGGTGAGTCGTGGCATCGTGCTGTTGGCGGCGTCGTTGGACATCGCCAACGCATTTAACAGAAATTCAGCTGAATCAGGGAAGCACTCCCCAGTTTTCCCTTCCACCCGCCATAGCGGCATAACGTGCCGGACGTCGCCTAAATGGAGAATGTACCCGTAGATCTTGCCCGCGCCATTGCGGGCTGGCGCTAGGAGGGGTCCGGATGTCTTAACAACAGCTGTTCCCGGATCCCTCCTGTTACAGGCGCAGAGTGGCACACCGTGTGGTTTTAGTCGGTCCGAGTCCGACACACCACCCCGCCGCAAACCCCGGTGGGTGACGGCCGAGAGGTCTTCACACGTAAAAACAAAAGGTTTGTTTCAAGTTTTCATTCTCTTTGCAGTGCTACTGTCCTGTGTAGTTTGCTCCCTTAGTCGGCTCTTACGACAGCACAGGATGATAGAGGTAGTAACACTATATTCTTAATCCGTTACCACACTGAGGTTATATAAAGGCTAAATTGTTAATACCTTGCTTTCCACTGGTCTGACTCCATCAGTCTGCTGGTTAAAGTGAATGAATGCGATGATGAGCCCCACCAACGCTGAAGGCAGACTGTCCCAAGGTGCAGAATATAACCACACGAAAGAACGGTTACCGACAAACTGTGTTCTCATAAGTCTGGAAAAAAATAAACAGGTGATGTTAGGGTTTGTCACCCAAGTGTTACATTAGTTATTTATTATTACACTTCACAAAACTAGAAGCGACCTTAATCCAAGCCTTTGGAGGGTTAACCCTTAGAATTTAACCCTCCAAGGGTTACATTTTCGGAGAATTATTTATGATATTCAGCCAGCCGTTTTTTACTTGGTGAGTAGAAAGAAGAGAATGGCAGAAGCATTTTAAACACCCATATTTAGATTCACAGACACAATAAGGGACAAGTCTTTTGCCATCAACTCGAGCAAGTTAGGGCCACGAAGTCTTTGGACTTCGTGGCCCTAACTTGCTTGAAAACGGCTGGCTGAATATCATAAATAATTCTCCGAAAATGTAAAAGGATTTTTTTTTGAAACCATTTCTACAGTAATATCAATGCTAACTTCATTTTATCGGACAGCCTTCGAAAATTGGTACGCTCTGACTGAAATGTCTATCAGCAGTTAATCTTAGTTATAAAAGAATGATGCGGTCTTCCTTATTTAGAACACGTGGTCCTTACTAATCCTAATAGAGTAATTCGCGGCCTTAAGACCACACACCAGTTCTATAAATGGAGATATGAAGACATTATGCGATGATAGTATGGCATTACAGGTTAACAAATAGCACTTATGAATCATATTTGATTTATATTTTATTGTTTACAGCCGGCGGCGTTACAATAGTTAATATTTGAATTAGTTTATGTAGATGTTGACCAAGGTTGACACAAATATTGAGAACGCTATTTTTATACATCAATAAGCGTAACAGATAAACTCAATAATTTTAATAAATTAATTAAATTTTAAACGTAGTGGATGACTATCATTGCACTATACAAGATTATTAGTTACTAAGTATTTCGAATTATTTCGTGTGCGTTACCCCAGCAAAATAATGTCGAAAATGGTCATTTAAACTTTATAGATAATTAGTTGCTCCCCTTCTGTAATTGTTAGGCACATTTTTAAATTTGTTTCACTTAAACTTTTTTAGTTATTTCAAAAAAACATTTCCTGCTGGGGTAACGTTTGAAACGTTACCGCAGCCAGACATTTTCTTTTTTAATTGTAATATTGAAATAAATTTTAGCTAAATAATTAGTTATCTGGACTAGGTAAATGTTACAACTTATTTGGTATTTGTATTTTCTTCAGCTGCGAAGTTATTCGAAATCCTGCTGGAGTAACGTTTGTGGGTTTGCTGGATCGCTGAAACGGGTAAGCGGATTGTAACCATCTTTTGTACATAACTTCTTAAGGATTAGTTTTAATTTGTTCGACAATAAAATAACAAAAATAATGTACCGTTTAAAAATTATTTAGGTAAGTATGAAAACCCTTCAATACGTCCTAACACTTTAAATAAGACCTCTAAAGACTTACTTGAAACGTTATTCTATTGCTTGTAACTACATTCAAATGTATACGAATTTTCGTAAGAATACTACAGTATTGAAAAAAAAGTGACTAAAAAGTTATGATGAAATGTAGCTCTCCACGTTCACGATCACAATGTGTGCGGCGTTTTTTGGCCACCAATGAACCTGTGTGTGGATATATAGACTGAATGTTATGCCAATAATTAGTTGTTTAGTTAAGTTGTCTACCTGTAAAATTTCAGCGTAGTACATATAATAATTTAGGAGATAATTAAATAAAAGTCATTAGAAGGTGCAAGACCGTGGTAACCCGACCATGTTTAGGTGGTTACAAGCGATCCAGCAAACCCACAAACGTTACTCCAGCAGGATTTCGAATAACTTCGCAGCCGAAGAAAATACAAATACCAAATAAGTTGTAACATTTACCTAGTCCAGATAACTAATTATTTAGCTAAAATTTATTTCAATATTACAATTAAAAAAGAAAATGTCTGGCTGCGGTAACGTTTCAAACGTTACCCCAGCAGGAAATGTTTTTTTGAAATAACTAAAAAAGTTTAAGTGAAACAAATTTAAAAATGTGCCTAACAATTACAGAAGGGGAGCAACTAATTATCTATAAAGTTTAAATGACCATTTTCGACATTATTTTGCTGGGGTAACGCACACAATTATTTCCGTTAGATGGCGCTGAGTTTTTGAAAAGAAGTATCTTTTTGAAAAGGTTGACTTACCAGCTCTTATTGAATGTACTCTGTCTTAAATTGCTAGGAGATACTCTATGGTCGGTATGACAGGGATGTTTCGGAGTAGGCGAAGATATGTATCTGTCCTTTTTCTTTTTTTTTCTCTACTGTCCCACAGAACCACAAACAGAAACTATTGAAATCACAACAATTCCCTCTTGGTATTCAAAATATTTTCAACCTATTAAATAATAAATCTACCTCCCACCTAGACATTGGCAAAATCATCGAAATCCGATGAAGCCACTAAATTAAAGGAAGAAGAAGAAGAAGATATGTATAACTCACTCTGGTATCATTATTTTGACCATTGGCAAGAGCTCCCAGTGGCAGATAGCTACGAAGTTAATCACAATAGATCCCAGTAGTATGGCAGAGAGAACTTTGACGGCGATACGCGGCCTTCTGGCCAGGGTCAGAGTCAGGATGGCCGAGATGACATACAGTTGCATGTCTACCGCTAGGAACCTGAACAGAGATGACGATAATCCTGATTTCCTTACTTTTACTAATATAATAATACTCTGATCCTAAACTAATCAGAGCCTATGGTAACCAGATGCTGTTAAACATATGTACTTAAATATTTCTAAATACATACTTATTATAGATAAATTACACCCAGACACAGATAGACAAATGATCGTACTCATCACACAGTTATTATTTTGTCATGGGTGGGAATCAAACCCACGGCCTCTGGCCTAGCAGTCAGGGTAACTAACCACTAGACCAACAGGTTAGTCAGTTACTTTCTCATGCTTTAAGACCTTAACTATTAAACTGATAATTACACAATTTTGCAAACAAGAATTCAGGAGTACAGATACACATGTAGGGTATGTTTCATCCATCCATCCTGAATAGATACTGTTGGAGAGGAATAATAAATTTTATGACAAAATTAACCTTTTATTTAGTAACCACAGGCAAAGGCTAATAATATTCTAAATGCCTGTTTTAAAATTTTATTAACTACCCAAGACTCGATAGTCATGTACGAAAAATACTTATAAATACGTATTAAAGGTTACAGCAAAGTACAGAAAGTATCTTTCATGCCACAAAAATATTCTTTTAGGCCAGAAATATAACTTTACTGGCTTTTGTCCGCGGCTCCGCCCGCGTGTATGTGAGTAAAAAGTAGCCTATGTTACTCGCTGATAATATAGCTTGCTATTGGTGAAATAATTATTAAAATCGGTTTAACTGTTTAGGCGTGAAAGCGTAACAAACAAACCAACTCACTTTCACATTTAGATTATAAGTATGGATTTAAAATAGATTCTAAAATGATTAAATATTTTAAAACTACTTCTTTAGAACGTAATATAAGTCATAACTACCCTCAGATCACGAAAATCTAGATAATGCAGTGATAATAATGCGATAGCGATAACATCGGGTGCATATAAGAGTATTTTGAAAAAGAAGCAATCGTTTCGAATTATCGAAGCGAGTTGTGAAATATTTACATTACGTAAACATGTCTGGTGACAAAATTCGTACTAGAAATTGATATAACAATGTTAATAGATAGACATTAAGGGACACAAGTCCGTGTGGTTAGGGATTAAGAATACAGTGTCACCACCCCTATTCATTCCGTGGGTGTCGTAAGAGACGACTATACAAACTAATCAGGATAATAGCACTGCAAAGAGAAGGAAAACTTGACACAAAGCCTATACCAACCCGTCTGGCCAGCGTGGTATAGTAGGCCAAAACCTCCTGTGTAAGGAGAGGCTTATGTCCAGCAGTGGACTATTTAAGGCTGTTGATGAAGGGACACAATTTTGCTACTGATGCATGAATAAATTAGTAATTAAATTCAATGAAAGAATTCAATAAAATAAATCGGAATAAACTGCCGTGTTGGGCAGGTTTTACTCTTAAAATTTGTATTGTCTGTTTTGTTTACCAGATGTCGCTTGTCGTTTGATTGTTGTATTCAAGCTGTTATTGTAGTGTATATTGTTCTAATTGCATTTTTATTGTATTATTACCAGATAAAAAATATATTTTGTGATACTGCAATGTGGTTGCTGGTACTTATAGCACAGGTTATCAAATTTAAAGTACCAGTAGAACAATATGTAATGGTATTTCTATCTGGACTCTCTGGATTATAATTTTGAAATGTTTTATCTTATGTGAACTAATTTATGCCAATAAAGAATTTATTATTATCTGCTACACTTTAAGACATAAAAACGCAACACCTGTATCATCTAGACACGTAAAAAATAACTAACCATGTATGTATGAGACACTTCTCATCAACGTCCACAAAGTTGCTGACGAACAACGCTTGGGACCACCATTTTTTTCTGCACGTATTGGCTTCAGTTCCAATGATAGGACCCCAGAGAGGGCCGTCGCTGGCGTGCGCGTACCAGGTCGTTGTGAGACCGAGGATAAAGAGATAGAGAGGTAATATCCTGGAAATTAAACGATTTACATAGGAAAGTTATAGATAAATTCACCTGAATTTACCTACCTTTACGTCCCTACTTTACGAAAAGTACCTACTTTTACGTCTAGAGAGAATCCTGTGTGAACGTGTGAACGCGTACAAGCAGAAAAAGGCCTGCGTCCATTGCTAGTACACAAAAATCTTTAAATATAAAAGTAATCTTTTAAAATAAACTGGCATTATTTTAATTCTTTTCGTTATGTATAACAAGCGTTTTATTCAAATATTACGGTCTTTTAGGACAAGTATCAATGAAGAATGAAATTTCTGCTGGAGAAAGAATAATGACGCAGCATAACTAAGGATGATTAAAAATACTACCTGGCAACATTAAATGTCAAAAGTTGTTACTTCATACAAATTCTAAAACATACTATTTTGGCCTTTTACTAAAGAAAAGAGGAAACCCTAATTTGATAGCCAATCTCTGTGTATTTTTAATTGATCAAATTATTATTAAATAAAATGTTTTTTACCGCCAACACTCGTTTACACATTACATTCACATTTAAGTAGTGTAGCAGTTAAATTTACCTGCATATCCTGTGCAGAAAGCACTTCGGGAACAGTCTGATCCCAAACGGCTTTTTAGGGTTATCAGCAGCATTCACCAAGAGATTGTATGCCAGTAGGAAGCAGGAGATCATAATGAACGACTGGACTATGGATGAGCCGTTTTGAAGGTACACTGATAATACTCTGTTGTTGGCCTGGAGAAGAAAAAAATAATTTAGTTATTGGTTAAAAATGTTGGTGGGTTTTGAGTATGTGACTACTTCCACATATAACAAAACAAATCGTACTCCAACACCATCTAACGAAGATACACTGAACTATGGAGTCACTACTAATCCTGTATCGCACATTCAAAGTTAGTATACAACTTCTCTAAATCTCCAGGTAAGATGATTTTCTCATAGTATAGGGAGGCAAGGGAATCAAATACCTAACTATTTCTTACTGGTTACTTTCTTGGTCTACTGGTTACGTCACACTTCTGCGATATCGCTTCTTTAGACTGACATGCCAGTTAAAAAAACTATAGTCCATCTAATCTAAGACGTACATAATTATAAAGATAAAACTTACTTTTTCGAAGAACTGAGGGTTGAATAAATACGTGTAGTGGAACGCCAGGACTGAATGTGCCAGCATAACAAGAATCAAAGTCAGGCACCTGTAAAACAAAAAGATAATTCTGATAGTATGTATGTACATAATGTACGTCTCAAAGGCTGAACAAATTTTGATGAAAGGTCTCGTTACATCTGCATTTAATGTAGTCATGTGTCAAATGATTTTAAAAAAATATTTCTTCCAAACCTCTGTATCAAAATAGAGTGTATCGGAACGTATTCTAATACATCAATTAGTGTCTAGTGACGTCACTCATATAATGTCAAGTTATTTGAGGTTATAGTAGTGAAAGTAAACTTTATGTTGTTGTAATTATTATAAATGTAGGTTTTGTAAAATTAAATTATAGTTAATTCAAGCACAATCCAAACTGTCAAAAATTAATGTTGACGGGGTTTTTAGAATTTTTAAGTTGGAAATGAAAAACACATAACAAAAACATAATTACTACAATATGTAGGAATCAGAGTTTAATTTTTGCTTTTTATTGTACATTCTTCAGATACCAGTTATTTCTGTTCAACAAGTATTTTTTTGATAGGTTTTTTCACTACTTTCGGCAAATCAAAATAGTTTAAGTTTTCTTAGATTATCAAAAAAAGTATTTTTGTCACTATTGAACATCAAAGTGATTGCGGTTTAAGTTGAGGTAACCTAAAGCTTCGTTCTATGTATATATTACCGCAAATAAACTTAAACTTTGTATTTCGTATGAAAACTTTGAACCTATATAAAAAAATCTCAAAACTATCTACGAAAAACTATAAAACCCAGCAAAACGACAAACATGTTTTCATGTCGATTTACAAAACACGATTGACGTCATAGAAATTATTTTTGTCAATTTAAAACAACATTTCAGCTAATAAATTACGTAGTGTTACAACTTGTTAAATTAATTATTGTAGACTGTCGGTAGAAAGCCAAAATAAAAATATTGTTTCTAGTAAATAAGTATTTTTCACTGATTATGGTTTATAAATTGCGTGGGTAATTCCCACAAGCACCACAATCGGAATTTCCCGTGGGGCCGGGATATATAATTCTATCACCAAGATAACTTAAGACTTACTTCATTGCTTGGACTGGTTTGAGCGCCGTTAATCTGCTATCTTTGTCGCTATGATCAGCAGTAAGGCGACGCCAATTCGCCACCAGCGACCACGCTACTAGTTGCTTGATGGCTGAAAATAAAAAATGTTCAGATTGAGACTTTGCATGTTTCTGCCTAAAATAAGGACTAGTTTTAAATTTTAAAGAAATTAAAAATATGTGTTGTTTATGGTTTATTTATTTTTACAATGTATGTTTACTTTCAAATGTCTAATGGTTTTAAAGCTGCGTCGTCACAGATTACACTTTTTTTGGACGTGAGGAAGATAATAAGGTTCGCTTCTCTATGTGTTTAATTCGATGCAATGTATTTCATAATTATATATCATTCGAGCTTTTTAACAAAACTTTACAGATGGAGTAACGTAAAATTTGAAATAGTCTCAGTTTAAATACCTATAGAAAAAAGTGGCGATAGCTAAAATATTTTAATAGATAGTTACATAGTTTGAAATTATTAATATCATCAACGGTATCTGTGCTATGACGATGACTGTTTAAATTTTAGAAATGAATAAGTAAAAATGACAAAATTATGGTTGAATTTCGACCACTAAGCGAACTCTGGTATACTTATGTACTTTTATTCTCGGTCCTTTCACTTCTGGGTATTTTGAACGGCAGACTGTTTTGAGTAATGCATATAATTATCATTTATGTCTTACAGTATTTTGAAATAGTATTTCAATTGTGATGTTTATTTATGTAATTAAATTTGGTAAAGTGAACTTGCTTGAAACGGGACGTATAGTTTAATTTGAATAAAAAAATCAACCATACTTGTAGAAAAGAATGATTGATTTTCTTTTACAACTTGTAAACAAATAACCTGTTGTAAATATCAGCTGATAACCGCGAATTGGATTTATATAACAGGTTAGGTTAAATTTCGGTTGAACTTGACGGCCAGGGTCAATACCATAGAGTGTCAATACCGCCTTATTGGTTTTGTAATGCAAATGACATTAGCACAGATAACTAATAGTTTTGACATTTGCTCGGTTCAGGGTCATTAGCTACTGGAGATTAATGTTTTCTATGGTTTCATGGGAAAATGTGTTGGAATTATCCATTTCTCATTATCGAGTCTGTAATTATAATTATATCCGATAATTGTGGTTGATTAGTTTGATTACACAATTTTACACATTCAGGAATGTGTAAAATTTAAGCGTAATTTTACACAATAACAATTATTTTAACAAAGGCAATGGGCATAATAACCTTCTAATAATTTATTCACAGAATACTGTCCATTTCATGAATATAAATGAAATTCTTAGTATTTTAATAATTCTTAGTACATATATAGTATTGGATTTTTTGCGAAATAAATTAATTGAGGATATATCTATATTATATGTGCTGAAAGCTTAAATGTTCTTTTAATAATAGATATTGTTTTTGTTAAATATATATTTTTTTGTATATTTGGCGATATGACGAAAGGTTGTTATTGGTTAGCAAGCTATAAAACAGCATTTTTTGCAAGTGCCATCGCTTCAACGATGTGATTTTGAAACGACCTAATTATAACCACGTGGTTTTTCAGTACTTAACGCGAACGTTAACGTTAAGGTTTAAAAATTTTGTTATTAGGATACTACGCTATCTTTCTTTTTCTTACTCACTTTCTCACTTTGAGAAGCCAACACCGGCATTAGGAATATATGTATATATCCTGTGTCGCGGGGGACTTTACAAACATACATGGTAAGGGATCTGAAATAACATGAAACAGACACAAAGACCACCCAGACTCAGAACAACAATTTTTGGATCACACAAAGTGGTGTCCCCTGTGGGGATCGAACACTAAGCGCAGTAGGGAGCGGCGTGTCGACCACTTTAATCACTATGCCATCCATGCAGTCTTTAAACAGAAAGATTTTGTAGATGGCTCAGAATTGCCAGCATTTACCAATGTGAATTACAGGTATACGACCTTGACCTGATGAAGCTATTATTGCCTACATTCTCCAACCTTCCATGTAATCACGGACATTGACTGCATGGATAATGTAGTGGTTCAAGCGGTCGCCACGCCGCTCACTACTACATTGTGTGATGCACATATTGCTGTTCTGAGTCTGGTTGTTCTTTATGTCCGTTTCATGTATGTTTTGTAAAGTCCCCCGCGACACAGGATATATTCCTAATGCAGGAGTTGTCTTTTAAAAAGAAAAAATAATCTCTCTTTCTAGCATTATCTTCTTCTACTTTTTAACACATTCCTAATTTTTCCATCTAATTAAAGTACGCGGTTGACGGCAGCAGGATTGTCCCTTATTACGTAAGTGGAACTAAAATTACTTATAGTTAGCAAAATGTACGCGTTCAGTTCTCCTCTACCTACGTCTTTGGGGACGGAATTATATACAATTCGTAAAGGATCATTCCGGCACACTCCAATCCCTACGAGAGCTGTCCGTTTTTGTGAAATACAAATTCGTTTCAAATGTAAACATGATAATTTTCGATTTTATGCGTATTCTTATAAAACACATTATGCCGTGTCACCCTGCATTATTATTAAAAGGGTTCCCGGTATTGCGCGGTTAAATGAATTCTCTGGAATATTCGTGATGTTTCGTGACAGTATATATATTTGTTTTTACTTACGTTTTTTGTCCTGATTTCTTAAAACGTCGTAGGCAGTTCCCACTATGTTCATAAGCAATATGACACCGACAATGAATGCAAAAATCAGGTCCCATGTATCCACCTGTCTCTGTGTCTTGGCTGTTCTGCAGTATTGGAACTCTGTGAGGTTTGTCTCTAGTCCAAAATCCGCTCGCGCAAGGTTTTTCACGCACCGCTGGAAGCGTTTTGTTGGAGAGGAACCTTCTATATGGGCGCAGGTGGTTGGAAGACAATAGCCTCGGTGGATTTTGGTGTGGTTGAAGTTATATGCATTCAAGGAATATTCCTGTAAATTGATAATTTGTAAAAAATATGAAAAAATAAATAAATTAAGCACTTATTTTATGAGTCCGTGTGGTGACGGATTAAGAATACGGAATGTCACCACCCCTATACATCACATACGTGTCGTAAGAGCCGACTAAGGGAGCAAACTTAAAACAAAAAACGTAAAACAAACCTTATATCAACCCGTCTGGCCAGCGTGGTATAGTAGACCAAAACCTCCTTTCTAAGGAGAGGCCTATGTCTAGCAGTGGACTATTAAAGGCTGTTGATGATGATGATGATGATGATGATTTTATGCGTTGAGTAGCTCCTCCCTATTATTTTTTAATAACAAATTAACACTGCTTAAGCCTTCTGCAGAGTCTTTTAGGCTATTAGTGGAAGGTCAACTTGTAGTCTCCAAATTTGTATTAATTAATTGATAGTCAAAAGCGCTGGCACATTCTTAATCTGTGGTAACTGGGTTATAGAGTTTCTTATTATGCATGTTCTCAAATATACATTTCGGGTGATATATCCAACAAAGATTTGGACGCACAGACTCATTTTCCAGTATATAGATTAGATATTAATCACACTCTAGTCAAGTTATTATCAAACAGAAGTTCCTTGATGAACATTTCTTCGATTTTATCTACATTTCTGGTTCTAATTGACGTACGCATTGCATGTTGCTTTAAGAACACTCTGGTCAGAAAGCTCTTTTAGCTTTCGTCCGAATCGGATGAAAGCTAGATTAGCTAGGTGGGAAACATTTAATTGAAACTAAATGCTGCAAATCACACATATGTTAATTTTGTTTGGTCAACTTTAATCAGATCGCATCTGGCTGCTGTTCTCAAAGTAACTAAACACAAAGAGAAGATCCTCCGAAAAGGCCAGACCAGAGGTGATCATGTCTGGCGAACCGTGGCCCAACTGTTTGTTGATGTTGGGAATTCGCATTTATAATAATATTTTCACACATCTCACACACGGCTGCCTGATTCCAAACTAGGCAGAGCATGTGCTATAGTAACCAGACTGCTGATAAACAAACTTATATATTTCTAAATACCTACATATTATATAAATAGTACCCAGGAAATAGTACCCAGGCACAAACCAATTTAAACTAATCGTTGCAAGAAATTCTATTGCGTGTGATTTGTATAGGTCTGTCGTGGTAATAGACACTGCAATTTATGAGTACAACTATATATATATATATTTATAATATTTTCTGACACAATTTGGCAATATAAATTATTCATAAATGTTGCATTGAGTGCACGCACGTGTTTGACTGCTTGAATTTATTTAGAAGTTTTATCTACCGTGACTAACATCGAGTGTATGAAACGTATTTAATATATTGTTTATTATAATTAATCCCTAAAACAGTATTCTTTATTTTTTGCAAAATCACTATTATGTTGGAATAATTATGAATAAAAATAAACTGAAAATGATAATCCTCGATCGTAAAAAATGATTAAAAATAAAAGAATATTTTATTACCACACCTAAAGGAAGGACCCTTTTTTTTATAAACTTTGAAGTAATGAAATTGCTACGGTTACACGGTGTGTATTATTATAAAATGTGACTTTAACACTCTACTTTATTAAATAAATCAAAAATATAAATATGTAAAAAGTGACAATGTAAACAGTGACAATGTAAAAAGTGACAATGTAAAAAGTGACAATGTAAATTTTTTTAAACCTTTATATATTACCAAATCAGGCCCACTTGCCACTTAAATTATGTATATATAATTAGCTATAAAAAAGTAGCAACCTCGTCTTGCCTGGCTGATTGAGTGGGATGTCCCACCTGTAGCCGCTCGTAAGTTTGGTACTTAAGGGTCATTCATTCGTCGCATGAGAAATTACTCAAAAACCATAAAGTACAAGCATAAAAGCTTGGTAATTAAATATTCTGTTAATTATTCTCTAAAAGAAATAACCATAACGTTGTCGGAGATAAGAGTAACGCGGTAGAGAAAGACGCAACTTTTAGGTGAATATTGCTGTAGGTAATTAGCGCTGTTTGATCTAAATTGTAGTCAATTGTTATTGATCGAGTGTCAATATTTACTTAATTGCTTTGCACCTGTAATAACGTTATATCGTTTTTATCCCTTAGGTGACCTTCTTTGTATCGCTGACAACGTGTATGTAAAATAATAATAATATTGTACCACATTCACACAACGCCATCTAGTCCCAAACTAAGCAGAGCTTGTACTATGGCTACTATACAACTGATATAAATACATATATACTTTTTTTTGTAAATACATACATATTATACATAGAAACACCCATACCAAATCAAACATTAAATGTTCATGCACACAAATGTTTGACTTGAGCGGGAATCGAACCCGCGACCTTTGGAATAGCAGTCCGTTACACAAACCACTACGCCATTCGGTCGTCAAAATAATATAAAGATTGGATGAACGCCACGGCAGCTCAACAAACATTGAATTTTATAAATATTATAAACACTGTTTCTACTTCTGTACGGGTTTATGAAGTGATTGCGGTTCTGTTACATTCGTATGTAATTTTTACGAGTTGAGCAAGCCGACAATGCAACTGCCTGTTTCTATTTGAGAGTGATGTCGTACTTACAATTGCAGACATATCTAGTCTAATATAAATTTGTGATAACTACGTAATACTTGTTTGTACTGTAATATTTTGTTCTAACCTAGTTAGGACAAAATATTGCACTCAATTTGAAAGGAAATGTTTGGCACGTTAGTGATCTGGCCAAGGTTAGTGATCTTGACCCGTGACGAATATTTGTGTCATAAGCAGGATTATTTGTTCTGTGTCTGGGTGTAGTCTAACTATAATATGTGTATGTATGTTGGATTATATTAGTATGTTTATCAGCTTGTTGTTTATATTAGTATGTTTAATAGTGCCAAAGAAGAAAGTGTTTAGTAGTTCTGTGAATTGCAAAAGAGTGGCCATGAGTTTGTTTGCCCTTTCTTCTCAAAAGGCTAGACCCCTTGGAAATGGGCGGTTGTAGATCGGCACAGGCATCATAGATTTTGTATGGGTTTGGTTTTTGTTAAATTTATTTGCTTACTATTTGATAAAACAGAGATTGCTGCTTTTGTGTGTGTTGATCTATGGCTTTAGTGTCACATTAAAAGACAATTTCAAACAATTTTAAAAATTTTATGAAATAAAGAGAGTTTGAGTTTATACAGCTCAAACTCAAACTCAAACTCTCTTTATTTCATATTTTTTTTTAAATTGTTTACTGATTCGTCTGGGATCATTGAGATCTTTGGGATCAGATCGCTGTGTGTCAGATGTCAAGATATTATTGGCTGTCCCATGCGGGCGCACCAACCTGCAGAGAGAAGCACCGCTGACGCGCGCACTACGTACTCTGAATATAATTGCGGATGAAATAGATTTATTTTATTGCTCACTGAGTGAATTCACAATAACAGCATTAAGAATTATTTCTTATAATAAATAAGTAGATGGTATAACTCTATTGCATTGGGCTAAACCTGTAATAATAGTTGTTTTTAAACGAAATAAATAAATTATTATTATGTCTTTAAATAACGGAATCTTTTAATTCACGTATCAAGGACATATATTTTATGGCGATCGTTTATTTTATTAAAAAAATGATAAGTTTAAAATAAGAATAACGCTGTAAATAAAATAATTTATAATACTTAATATAATTTCGTCTACAGAAATAAATATACAAATGATTTTGGGTCAGTAACTTGTAAACATTTATTACTTAATAAAATAGACAGGCACTTGATTACATTTGTTTGTCACTATATTTAATCTAAAATAATATATATATATTTTTTTTGTAAAAGACAACGCCAGCATTAGGAATATATCCTGTGCCGCGGGGGACTTTACAAACATATATGAAACGGACACAAAGAACACCCAGTCAGGGTGTTCTTTGTGTCCGTTTTATAACAACAATTTGTGGATCACACAAAGTGTCGTCCCATGTGGGGTTTGAACCCACAACACCCGGCGTAGTAGGAAGCGGCGTGGCGACCGCTTAAGCCACTACGCCATCCTTACCTGTAAAACATTGTAGAGCCTGTCGTTCCTGTACTGCAGAAGGTCAAAGGACCCGAGGCAGTAAACACCCCGGCGACTTGACAAGCATTTTTCATAATCATCCAGATGAAAGAGCTGCGGCAGAGAGTGGTACTCCTCATCTGAAATGTTTATTACTTGAATTGTAGTTTGTGTTGAATCCGATTCTGCCTAACCCTTACAGGATATTATTATATTTCCTTGACTTCTTTGGTCTGAGTGTAGGCCTCTCCTGAGAAAGAAGGTTTTGGCCTAATATACCATGCTGGCCAGACGGTTTAGTATAGTGTTTGTGTCAAGTTTTTCTTCTTGTCTTTGCAGTGCTGTGGTACTGTGGGCTGGCACGGGATGAATAGGGTCGTGACACTGCGTGTTCTTAATCTGCCACTTCATCACTTCATGAACATCAATATAGTTTCGTAAAATGAAATGAAATTATATTTATTTCTGCAAGTAAATCTTTTCAGATAGTTTTACAAGTCGGACTTTACAACTAGAAGGCATTTCCTAAGACTCGCTATGGGAAGAAACCCTGAAACAAACCACAGAGGAGTTTTTTTTTTTAAATTCCGTGTACAAAGTTAACGAGAACTATGTGAGTGCAGTACAGGGTTTGGGTTGGCCTTTTGAAGAAAGGATCATAGTCCATATAGACGGCATGATCACCTCGCCTGTTTGGAGGATACTCTGGCCCTTTGTGTTGGAGGGACATGACACCCGTTCCTCCACAATAGTTAAAAAATATTTGGCATTCGGCATGGCATAAGACGGCCTAGATAATATGTATGTATTTAGAAATATATAGGTACTTAACTATATTTATCAGCAATCTGGTTATCATAGCATAGGCTCTGCCTAGTTGGGAAACAGACATATGGAGTTATATATCATAAGATCACATCAAAAGTGTGAAACAAAAGTATTGTCATTCATATGTTGCAGATCTAGTAAGCCTTTAAGTTTAATTTTGTCGTCAAGGTTGTAATACTTATTTACCTTATTATAAATAGTTTTTCAACATAATTACGAGGTTCTACCTAAACACCCAAAATTATTATTTAAATACGATAACCTTTTGGTGTTTGCATGCATATAAAACGGTCATTATAAGTGATTGTTTATTTCTATTTTAAAGATTATTTATTTGGTAAAATTGGTAAAAGATGTTTATGCTTGACCGATTTAGGATTTGACCTAGTATTGGCTCGTGGAGCATTTCATTGCCGCAGAGGGTTCAGAGGTGTGACTCAGTGCGAATTTTGCAAGGAATAATTGTGTATTTCTCTGTGCTATTGACGCAGAGTCGAGATAACAATGTATAAAAACCAATTTCTTAGCGTTCCGTGGACCATGCGGGTGCTGTGTCTATCGCGTGATAAAAGGGGGCAACACATGCGACTTCGACAGCGCCTGGGAATTGCGACCTAGGAGTAGGGTTAGGGACGCGTCAGCGCTCACCTCCATTGTCTTCTGTGTTACACCCTCTACCTAACCATATTTGGTATGAGTCAATGCCACTTAGGAAATTTCAAGAATCGCTAAACTTACTGAAGTTCCTGGCAATCTAAGGTCTTTAAGCAGGTTATAGAGGGATTTAGCTGGTATACCCCTCACACCAACTTCCACAGTGTACGTACAATGCAACGAAAAAACTATTTTTAGTTATTTAGTTTTTTTTAGTCAAAGTAGTAGGTCAAAACTTCCTTTCTAAGGAGAAGCCTATGTCCAGCAGTGGACTAGTAAAGGCTGTTGATGTGATGTGTGATGTGAAGTCAAAGTATTTGTTTCTTTTTTGATATTTTTAGAACATTCTTGTGTTAATGAAATGAAAGTTTCGATTTTCATATTATACGTACTCTCTATAAACGAAATAATCGTAATGCAGAGATTATATTAGTACCAGAGCTTTAATATCATTTTAACCGACTTCAAATACGAGCTGTTCCTATTTGAAGTCGATTTTTGGAATCCTACCCGGACTGCGATCTATTTGTTTATGAATATCACGTAAACATGATTTTGCTGTTATAATAAACATAATAAACATTGGTTTTGGTATTATGTATGTCATGTTATATTTAAAATTTAAGTTTGTTTTGATATAATTTTAAGTAAATTATTTAAGAAGTTTTAACTGTTACTCTTAATTAATGTAATTGGTTTTAAGCCGTTTTAATCGTTTTACAAAAATAATAGTTTTACTTTTAACTAAATTGGTTTTACTGCAAATAAAGCTGTTACGGATCATCGCTTTCTAGTGTGCTGAGTTTTGTAGGTTCGAACCCCACATGGGACAACACTTAGGTAGTTGTTCTGAGTTGTTTACAAGAAGGGCATCAATAAACTGCCAATGCGTTGGCAAAGATGCGTCGATTGCATGGGTGATTACTTCGAATAACAGAAATAAAAAAGTTTGAAAAAATAAGTACTTTCACTTATTGCATACAAAACGGCAATTTCATAGGTAAAGGTAGGTCTTGTAAAAATCAGCTGGACGGGAGGCAACAAACTCTTCAAAGGCATTTTGTACTGCCTCTCGGGAATTGAATTTTTTACCCACTAAAAAGTTGTCTAAATTTTAGAAAAAGTAATAGTCGGTAGGTGCAAGGTCTGGTGGTCACATCTGCAACTAGCTTTGGTCAATCGGTCGTCCCCACTGCTCCTTCACGACAACGCGCGACCCCATACTGTGCAACAGACAGTCTCCAAGCTGCAAGAGCTGGGGTTGGAAGCTCTCCCTCATCCGGCATACTCACCAGACCTTGCACCTACCGACTATTACTTTTTATTTTTGTTTACATTGCGGCAATTTTAATAGTATGTACAATGCATGCTAATATTATAAATGCGAAAGTGTGTCTGTCTGTCTGTTACCTCTTCACGCATAAACTACGGAACCGATTTAGGTGAAATACAGTAGCAAAACACTTTTTGCCCCGCCCAACCAATCTGTGGAACGGGTTATCGTCTGCGGTATTTCCGCACCGATACGACCTTCAAACCTTCAGGATAACAGCGTACTCCGTCCTAAAAGGCCGGCAACGCGTTTGTGACTCCTGAGTTGCAGACGTTCATGGGCGGCGATGGTCACTTTCCATCAGGTGACCCGTCTGCTCATCTGCCCCCTCTAACATAAAAAAAAATAGTTTGAGTCCTGAGAAAGGTCATAGAATAGTTTTTACCCAGAAATCATTCTTTAAGGGGGTGGAATTTTGTAATGGGCATCAATAATCGCTGAACAGATTTAGATGAAACTTGGTAAGAAGATAGTTTGATTCTTGAGGAAGGACATAGACTACAACAGACATACACGCGAGCTAGTATTCTATTTATAATCAATGTTACGTTGGTTTGTGGACGCTTCAAAAACACATAAAGTTTCGGACCAATTGAGCTCAAATTGTAATTAAATATAGTTTTTATCTATTTTTTATTGCCCATTTTTTCGTATCAAAGCGTGGCAGCTAGTTTTTTTTAAATTTATTAAAGGCCATTTTTTATACGAATATTTCAGGTATTTTTTTATCCATAAAACGTTTGTTTTTACTTTCGTGAATTCTACATAAATTAGAGGCGTATTATTACGTACGTTACATAATTATATCGGTCGTATTTATTTCTTGCTAATGAAAGTATGGGTATTTTCAAGAAATGTTTGTATCCTAACTAATAATATTTTATACAAAATTAAATACGTGTTTGAGCTTGTTTTTTGTTTTGACGCCTTAATTTCTCAACCGAAGTCGTCGTGAAAAATATTGAACACGTCATCAGAGGACAGAAGCCATTGTCTTTTAGCAAGAGTACCTTTATTAAGACAAAATTAACTGTTGTAGGGGATAGATCGATTGAAAAATAATGCTAGAAGACGTTAAAAATAATGATTAAACTTTTATGAAACTAAAAACACTTTCTAATGACGAAATATATTATTAGAAGCCACAGAAGAGTTTAATTATCGACCTCCTGACTAGTATTGTCATCTCTAATTTACTAATATTATAAAGTTTGTTTGTTTATCTGAAGGCGTTAATCTCAGAACCTACTGATTCGAGTTGAAAGCCTATTTATCGAGGAGGCTATGTAACATCACGCTACCACCAATTGGAACCAGAGCATCAATGAAACATGTTCCAACTACAGGAAAAATTTATGCCTTTTGAGAGAAGTAGACGCAGTGCGCAGGTCAGCTAGTATTATAATGAATATATAGGCTACAATACTAAATATACACACAAACGACACGACTATTGCAAGTAGGTTATAATTGACTTCCTAGATTTGTTTTTGTAGTTAGTTTCAACAACAAAGTTAGATAAGAGTCCTTGTGGTGACGGATTAAGAATACGGAGTGTCACCGAACCTGTTCCTCCCGTGGGTGTCGTCGACACAGGGAACAAACTAGGCAGGACAACAGCGCTGCAAAGAGAAGGAAAACTTGAAATAAACACTAGACCAATACGTCTGGCCAGCGTGGTATAGTAGGCCAAAACCTCCTTTCTAAGGAGAGGGCTATGTCCAGCAGTAGACTGTTAAAGGCTGTTATTAATTTTAAAAATTTTCGAAAAGGCTTTTAGACTACTACTAAAACAATATAATATAATATTACAATATAATTTTACACTCCGTTTTCTACAAGCATTTACTGCATGCATTTCGGTATTTCCACCACGATATTCTAAGTACCAGCATATAGAGCAGATTTTACACTCCGTTTTCTACAAGCATGTTCTGCATGCATTTCGGTATTTCCACCATGATATTCTAAGTACCCGCATATAGAGCAGATTTTACACTCCGTTTTCTACAAGCATGTTCTGCATGCATTTCGGTATTTCCACCATGATATTCTAAGTACCCGCATATAGAGCAGATTTTACACTCAGTTTTCTACAAGCATGTACTGCATGCATTTCGGTATTTCCACCATGATATTCTAAGTACCCGCATATAGAGCAGATTTTACACTCAGTTTTCTACAAGCATGTTCTGCATGCATTTTGGTATTTCCACCACGATATTCTAAGTACCCGCATATAGAGCAGATTTTACACTCCGTTTTCTACAAGCATGTTCTGCATGCATTTCGGTATTTCCACCATGATATTCTAAGTACCAGCAT